GGGATCATAGTCACTCTAAGGGGGAGCTTAAACGAAATGGAATCTGTGTCCCTCATTAGCAACCACTAACTTACAAGTTAGCTAGAGTTATCAACCCAGGCTAAGATCAAAATGCTACTTGAGATTAGGGATGACACACTGCATACTGGATTTAATCGTCATGAACCACGATCTCATATTTACCTTGCAGAACTCCCCAAGGGTAATGGCGGCCTCTGACCATCCTTTTCCCAACTTTCACCTCCTCCATGCTTCCTACCACAGCCAAAGGTAACTGCCCCTAAACAGATAAAAATGATACAAGTCAGACTCCCTTCAACACTATGGCTTGGCTCTGTTGTTCTTTTTCTGTGATAACAAGGAGCAAAGTGAGGCTAGTATAATACATTTAATTACACAAATAATCTATCATGTCAGACTTTTATACTTAGTGGAAAATATGTGCTAATTAGTTTGTTAAACATTAATCTCAGGCTGACATATAATTAAAGACTACCTACCTCGTAGCACTACCTTTCCTAAAGCAAGACATCATGATGCGTGCAGTACAAAGATAAAAAAGATTGTTAATACACAGTTTTTCTCACATTATCTTTACACTAAACACAAAGACAACATTGCTGAGTTGATATGAAAGCTACTTTAATGATAATATATATATAAGTTAACAGGTGAAACTATTAAAAATAAAAATTAAGCTGGGCAGAGCGGTGCACGCCTTTAATCCCAGCACTCAAGAGGCAGAGGCAGGTGGATCTGAGTTTGAGGCCAGACTAGTCTACAGAGTGAGTTCCAGGGCTGTCGGGGCTACATAGTGAGATCCCGACCAAATAAATAAATAAATGAATAAATAAATAAATAAATAAATAAATAAATAAATAAATAAATAAATATTATAGTTAGTTCTTGGATACACAGTATAAAATATGCTAATAAACAATATTATGTGTGTCCTCAGGAGGGCTAGGTTAGTGATAGCATCTTCGATAAAGTACCTGTTCTGTGAACACAAAGACTTGAATCTGATCCCACATTAAAAACCAGGCATGAGCCAGGTGGCGGTGATGTAGCCTTTAATGCCAGCGCTTGGGAGGCAGAGGGGGCAGGTGGATCTCTGAGTTCCAGGGCAGCCTCTTCTACAAAGCTAGTTCTAGGACAGCCTGGGCTACACAGAGAAACCCTGTCTTTAAAAAAAAAAAAAAAAAAAAAGGAATTGGGGTTGGGGATTTAGCTCAGTGGTAGAGCACAAGGCCCTGGGTTCAGTCCTCAGCTTTGGGGAGTGGGGAGAAAAGAAAAGAAAGAAAAATCCAGCCTCAGGCTGGGATGATGCTGAGCTGTCAGTTGCTAACTTGCCCAGCATGTGTGAAGCTCAGGGTTCAATCCACACTACTGAAAAAGAAATCAGCTTAAATATATCATAGTGGTGACTGGAGTCTGGGAAGTGGGTGAGTCGGGGGCTATACAGAGAGACGGGATCATGAATATATAAAGACAGACGGGTGGAATAATTTAGGCTACTCTGCAGCATAACAGAAAACAGAGTGAATTGGAAAAAGAGAATCCAAGGAACCTTTGTAACTTACAAGAAAAAAGGCAAAATGTCAATCAAAAATGAACAAAGAATCTGAATATATGTTTCTTCCCAGGAACTCATAAAAATATACATAAACCTATGGAAAAACATTCCACATCTGTAATCACCCAAAATGCCAATCAAAAACACAGTCGGATCCACTCATACTAAGTAATGTAGTCAGATTTTTTAACATTTATATAGCATGAATTAAGACAAAGAAATTAAATCAAAACTCTTAGGCAGGTGCCTTGGGAATCAATACAACAGATCTTCAAATGATTAGATATAGTTGTTATATGATCTAAGAATTCTACTTCTAGATATATATATCCAGGAGAAATTAGAGTATCTACCATCACAAACACTTGTACATAAATGTTTATAATAACATTCTTAATAGCAAAAATGTGGAATAAGCCCAAGTGTATATTCACACAATGCACACACACACACACACACAGAGAGAGAGAGAGAGAGAGAGAGAGAGAGAGAACAGATACTTGTACAATGCTGTAAATCTTGAAAACATCATCCTAACTGAAGACAACAGATACAAAAGAGGACCTGTGATTCATTCACATGAAATACCCAGAAAAGAAGCCACATAATAAAAAATACCTATAATATTACATGAATTGGTGCATAAAGTTATACATCTAACTTAAATGGTATTTTCCCATCTGGGCTGGCAATGCTCCCTCCAAGATACAAAGACCATCTAACAAAAAACTCAACACCAGGCATAAGAAGCCTTCTTTTGTGTTGTTGGTCAGGGTCTTCCAAGTAACTCCCATAACATTACAGGCGATTGTTGTTGGCTTTGGATGTCCCTAAGAGGTGGAACAAAAGTCCTGGTTGCTGAAGACACTTCGTACTTCTGACATCGGGCCCAGAGTCCCCTGAGCTGGAACTGATCTAAAAGCCTCATCCTGAAGACTAGCTTTTATGGTTCCAGAAGATGCCTTGCAAGCTTCCAAAGGAGGGAGGCAACCCCCAGTCTGGCCAGTTATGATGCCTAGGAATCACAATAATAACCAACATGGAAAAAAGAACCCAAAAGTGCAGCAGTGGCACACACCTTGGCAGTAACCAATAGTTCTCTGATTGACAAGAGGGAACTCGTGCCTGGTAACAGAAACCCAGCCAGCTAGCCCGGGCCAGTGAAGTCATGGATCTTGGAGGAGACCCTTCAGCCACCACTTTACTAAAGCAGCACAATCCCTTAACGTTAGTATTCTGACCCACCCCTTGAGACCTGCCCAGCATCCTGATGTCCTCTGACATTAAAGCCCCCTTAAGAGGAAGCCCCCCTCCCCTTCTCACCAGAGGTAGCCTGCACCTCCCTCTCCCTCTCCCTCTCCCTCTCTCTCTCTTTGATTTTTTTGAGACCAGGCTGGCCTTGAACTCAGAGATCCACCTGTCTCTGCCTCCCAAATGCTGGGATTAAAACTGTGTGCCACCATGCCCAGCTTAATTTTTTTTTAATTAAATCTTCATAAAGCTATTTAAAGAAAAGAATTTGTGTCGGGTGGTGGTGGTGGTGGTGGTGGTGGTGGTGGTGGTGGTGGTACACACCTTTAATCCCAGCACTCGGGAGGCAGAGACAGGCGGATCTCTGTGAGTTTGAGGCCAGCCTGGTCTACAGAGTGAGATCCAGGACAGGCACCAAAACTACACAGAGAAACCCTGTCTTGA